ATACCGGAGAATGTCATTGTTTTTCTTATAATATTTACAACTCTGTATTGAGAACGGGATATTTTCCTCAAACATGGAAACACATAGTCATTCACCCAATAGCAAAACTAAACCAGAATCACTCAAAAGCAGAGAATTACAGACCTATCAACTTGCTATCTATAATGTCAAAAATCTTGCAGAAATTAATACCCACAGATTGAACAATAATATCAAGAAAACAAACAGTATACCACAGCACCAGTTTGGCTTCAAGTCACAATACTCTACCACCCACCAACTAGTAAGGCTTACGGAACACATTTACACTGCATTCCAAAAGGGGCAACATACGCTGCATTCGTATCGCTGCATTCGCTGCATATCGCTGCATTCGTTGACATTTCGTAAGCTTTCGACCGAATATGGCATCCAGCTCTCTATTTTATATTAATTTCAATAGGTACACCCAAATATCGAGTATTTCTTATTCTTAGCTATATAACAAATAGAACATTTTCAGTATCAGTCGAAGGCCTCTGCTCCAAACCAAGGAAAATTTCTGTTGGATTTCCCCAAGGTTCACCACTAACACTGACGTTGTTCAATTTATACACATCAGATTTATACACAGCTATTTCAGCACATATAAACACCGCTCAATTTGCCGATGACACTGCATTATATATCTCAGGAAACTCTATAACAACTCTTCAAACACAGCTTCAGAACCACCTAAATTTACTAGCAAATTGGGCTAATGTCACGAAAATAAAGTTGAACCCAATAAAATCTGTAGCAAAAATATTCACATTAAAACCATTCACACACACTCTTCCATTCTTCATAAATAACGACATCATCAATGGGAAACCAACTAATAAAACAATAAAATACTTGGGCTTAAACTTGGGCGATACCCGACTCAACTGGAAGCAACATATACAGGTAAAAACTCAGCAAGCCAAAACCAAACGAATTCAACTCTGACCCTTACTGAATCAACACAGTCAACTCTCCAAATCCAATGCTCTATTACTCCACAAACCAATAATCCGGCCGACATTACGCTATGCTTGTCCCATTTGGCCTAATGCTGCTAATTCCAACCTAAACAAAATACAAGTTATCCAAAATATTTTTTAAATTTTAATTACAAAAGCACAAGTTCATCAGTAACAATTAATTACACAATGATTTAAACTCAATAAAAAAATAGTCAACCTCGCATACAATTTTTCTCTAATCTTCCCCTAATTCAAGCATAATCCTTCTATAAACTAGGCAAAACCCCCAATAATCAAACGATACTTAACAACAGATATCTCTTCCATTCATTTTATAAAATGGTCGCAAACGTGAAATAATACTAATCTGAGATGCTTCCTGCATCCTCTCCTAGTATATGTTTTTAATATAATTGTAATGTATAATTTTAAGTTAGTGTAAGTTAGTATAAGATAGATTAAGACCATCAAACATTTTCACAAGTAATATGTAAACTGAACAATGTAATGCCTTGCAAAATGAAAATTACAAAAAACAATTGCCACCGTTTATAGATTAAGCCAGATAATTGGTGAATATTATTCACAAACTCTTACATTAAAGAGATGGAGATAATTAAAGAGAAATTATTGTTCAACTAATTTTGTTCTAATTTATTTTTGCAATTTAATCTTGCTCAGTTAATTCTATCATTTTTAATAATGATCATCATATAATTCGCATTCAAAATATAATCACCACTTTAAGTTATATCTTTCTTGGTTATTTCTTTAAATGTAATTCATTGTAAGCGAGAATTGAAACGGTACGGAGATGCAATGATCGTAAATATTTTGTAAATTAGATCATGGTGTCATAATTTTCAGTATTGTCGATAAGTGTTTAAAGCGTGTATAGTCAAACAAAATTAACAATGCTTGGTAGAAAATTAAAATAAATATTTGAAACAATATTGCAGTAAATATGCAGCAAACCTGTAAGGTAATAGGAGAAAAGATTAAAAGAAACAAACATAATTTTTCACGAGCGTCTGCTAAATTATGAAATCGTAATTTTGATAATATATTATTTGAAAATATTAATAATTATTCATGTAAATGATAAATGGTTTCCTATACATTTTTTTTGGAAAATGTTTCAAAAATCAAATAAATATGCTTAAAGAGGCCAATAATTGGCATTTTGGTTCACATGAAAACGTGGCAGATGTGACCTTTTGTGCCTACTGCGAGGAGCTCGTAAATATTAGTTACAGCGTGTGACAACAAGGATTCTGGGGCTGTGATTGACGGAGGCCGTGATCGGTAGCAAGGCCGCACGCAAGCGCTGCCATTCGCCACCGGCAGCGCAGTCGGCGCACGCCTCTCTGGGCGAACTTCCACGCGCACAGTGGGAGCGGCCGCGTGGACCGTCGGGGCCAAATTCAATACAGCAAGCGCGGGGCGGCAAGTGAAGAATAGACGATGAGAGATACACTGCAAGGGCAGATGAACCATCTCGAAAGCGAGGACGAGATCGATAGCGCAAAAAGTAGCGAAGAGAGAGAAAGTCCCCGTAGGGAGTGTTGGAGCATGAGGACGGGAGAGGGAAAAGGGGAAATGGAATGCGGAAGAGTGGAAGGTTAGGAATGGGGATATGTCATGATGATAAGCCGGCAGGAAGGAGTAAGTGGAGTAGAACAATATAAAAAGTCTGGAGTTATGACCGGGCAGCTTAGTGCGAAGTCATAGACAAGGGGGATAGGACTCAGAGAGTCGGCGGATGTGAGGGCGTGGTGGATACATGGTGGCGAGGCGTAAAGGGCATGGTGAAGTTGCAAGGCATCAGTGAAGATGCAGGTAGGAACTGTGACGTATAAGACATATGGGATTAGCATAATGCGAATGTTTGAATGTGAGACATGCGAGTCACGGTGGCATAAGAGATGGTAACGTTAAGGAAAGGGCGAGATTACAAGAAACGACTGCAAAGTAAAATTGCGTGGCAGGACTGAGTGGAGCAGCAGGAGAACACGCGGTAAAAGGGCAGGGTGGTAGAGCTTGTGGGACGGCAGTGGGGGGAGCTAGGTAGGGATGGTTGGCGAGGCAGGGCGGGTTGGACGGGCAAAGCGGGACAGGGCAATGGAGTGGGGCGGGTCGTCAGGACAAATCGGGGAGGCTGGTAAGAGTCTGACGGCCGGGCAGGAAGGGCGGCACTGGAGCAGCAGAAGGTGTGGCAGTTCAGAAAGGGACGGTACGGAATGGCAAGACCGGAGGGGAGGGCCGGATGGAACAGGAGAGGCAGGCGAGGCGGAATGGTAGGACGGAAAGGAATAGAAGGATTTGACGATGTGACGGAGCGGCTGGGAATGGGAAATATGAGTGGGTGGGAGAATGCGTGGAGCGGGGCGAGAGGGCAGCGAGATGGGTGGTAGGTCTGACAGCTGGGTCAGGGAAGACCAGAACGGAATGGGATGGCCAGAGGGGGCGGAGACAGGGCTGGGTGAGTGAGAGGACACCAGGGCGGGTGGTAGGATGGGCAGTAGGTGTGGCGATAGCACGCGCGTCAGCGACCGCGTCCGGCGACAGTCCCGCGCCGCCCTTTTTATTGGCGTCAGCTGCCAATAGATTTGCGACATCGATTAGCACGAGAACTACGCAGAGCATTGCGTACTTCACGGCTCGATTCAGAAGTGGGGATGTCCATGGGCCGGGCGGTGGATTGGCGTTAATGGAGGACCAGAGAAGAGTTTGAACATGCACCTGTGCAAATGTCAGGCCCAATTTATCTTACCATTTTCTAATCTTAAATTGAAATTAAACCTTATGCAGGTTGTACGCTTTTTGTTCTTTTCTAGAATCCAAGCTCACTTTCTATCTCGTGCAAGGAAGTAGAACGAAATAAAATATTAGTAAATTCTTGTCACTAGTTATATAACAATCAGAAAAAAGCAAGAGATCTCGAAGTCGCTGCGGATTTTTTGTTTAAAAGTTCATTTGTATTTTCATGAATGTGCGCATTTGTAAAGAAAACTTAATTTGCACCTCCGTAAACCTTTCATCATAAATGTACGATAAATGTGTATACATTTGCCAGTATGGTGGTATAAATTAACCTTTTAACAATTAACATAGATTAAACTCGTGATTTCGACACTCAACTCAACGGCATCATTTTGTAATCGATAATGAAGTGATGATATGTAATATTATTATTTAATGAATAAGAATTTATGAGGAATTTGAAAAGTTATAAAATTTCAGGAGGCGGATCGATTTTTCGGTTCCAAAGGATTTCTTGTAACACGGACCGAATATTTGAATTTTAAATATTTAGAATTGGAACTACCTCCTGAATTCTATCACCAGCCACAGATATTCATTCAATTTATTCATATTCATTTTATGGAATTTAATCGTATAACTCATAATTCAAGAAATTCCAGTGAAAATGTGAATCAAGTGAGTTTCCGATTCATTGATTGAGTAATAATCCGTTTGTTAAGTTACTGCTCCGACATATAGCGTTCTGGTTCTGTAAGAACCACAGACAACTTCCTATCCTGTCGCTAGAATTATCCTTCAGACAGCCACTCTACTCGATCTATCTAGCTAGTGTTGAAAATCCTTCCACAGTAGGATCTCAAACCCTAGGATGCGTTTTCGACAAATTTTGTGATGAAAGAAATAATATTTAAATAAAGCGAATGTGCAAAGTCGAAAAATGTTGGAGAGAATTATAATCAGAAAATTTAATTTTGACAAAGCAACGTCGAGAGAGTTCTAGTTTCGTGTAGCAAGATTCAGTCGGAATAACTCCTGACTCTCGGCATCGGAATTGTGGAGAATGTCTCAAGAAGAACGCTTCTTTCCAGTGCCTATCGCGCTCTAGCCTTTGCAAATTTCATCATTCACCGTTCACCATTCCATCTCCGGTTTTCACCACACATACCAGGCTTTCTACGCCATTTCCTTCACTCTTAACCCTTTATTTGCCATCTACAATTATCTTCCCTTTCCTTCTATGATATTTACCACTACCTCGACTATTCGTCTTCGGATTTCACCCACTGCTTTGCAACCTGCACTTGCCCAACCTCTGTTCTCCATTCTGCGCCCTCCATCTTTCTCCTTCCATCTTCCGGCCTCCATTCCCCGCCCTCGATTCACCGCTCTCCATTTCCACTGCTCACCAAATTCCGTCGTCCTCCCACCGTCCACAAATTGCTGTTCGCCGTCCACTCTCCGTTCTCAGCCCATCACCCTCCGCCGCCCCGCCCTTCACCTCTTCCCGGCATGCACCACTCTTTTGTAGGCGCCCCCGGCGCAGCCCGTTGTTAACCGTCCGTCTTCTTTTGTGATATATGGGCGCGAGAACGCAAAACTCGGTTTATACAACGCGTGCGATATATCACCCCAGTTTGTGGACAACCACGCACGCACGTATGTGTGCGCACGTAGATATACATATCCGCCATGTGTGCCTCGAACGCAGAGTCCTGTGAATGCTACAAGTCTCGTAACACAGGAAAACAATGTACACGGCCCAGTTGTACCAGTTACATTCAATGGATCAATTGCGTAGGAAACTGGAGAGTTTTTAACGGAGTATTTTGCTCTAATTTTATTACTCGTGCAGTAATCACTACAGATTGAAAGATGTGGAAGTGCGAGAAAAATATTTCGCATGTATGACAATAATATTATCTTATTTGTAAATCACTTGTAATAAATATAATTTTCACATGCGTAACAGCAAGAAACTAAAATATCTTAAGTATTTTTATTAAATAATTAACATTGAATGTAAATTAACTTAACTGAAGTACATTAAATTATGAATTTAAAAGAGCACAACCGTTCAAGTCAATTTTTACAAAACATGAATCACTGTCACTCTTTGTTTTTTGAGAAAAGTTTCTTGATTGTAAATGATAACTTTCATTCAGATATCACTTAATTTTTAAATCATAACGTTGTTAATGGTAACATTAATGTAGCCAATAAGTGTACCATATTTAGAACACAATTATAATCATGTCAGATATTGTGCCCAGTTTTAAAATTCAAGAGCTCTGAAAGCAATAACCCTTCGTCAACTAGTAGAGAAGTGTTAAACTTCCAACTCATCTCTCAGTACTTCTCTCTCCCTTTGTAGCCGAAATCATCGCAATTACTGACCCCTTCAGCACAACTCCGCACCGCAATGAGCTTCCGGATGGCCGGAACGCAATTTCAAGTTGACCAGATAAGTCGTGAAATTTCGCGACGCGCAATAAACAAGGAACTAGGCGGTTTAACCGCTGGAAGCTGACGCAAGCCTTTTGATTACACAGCTCGTCTCACAACGCGCGTCACGGAATCCTCTTGGACTTTTCGGAATGCGCCGAAAAACTGCGAGACCTAAACTAAGTAACGAATAACTTGGCTTCAATACTTGAGAAACTTTTGAAAGAAACCAATGTATGAAAAAAGATATTGTACAATTACATATATCTTTATATAAGTATTATTATTAAATACGTACCTTTCAAGAAATAAAATGAGCTAAAAGTTTTCGGACTTATTACAAATGTGAAATAATTTAATAAAGACATGAACACTTTCCGTTGTGAAAGATGATGTACATGAATCGCGAATATTTGACTCATACCAACATTTTTTGTATTATATACAGTATTCTAAATTTATAATAATTTCTTAGAGGGTAGATGATCAAAATTAAATTTATTCTACTTTTTATCATAAACTCCAGAAATTGTTATTTTAGTCTTGAAAATTGGCAATAGAGAGAATAATCATTTTCGAAAACCATAAAAACGAGGGCAACTCCATCGAAATGTATTTCAATTTTCGATATCTGATTTCATCGTACTCCATTTTCACACCTACGCCAAATGAGATTATTTACAAGCCTCAAGACGTTCCAAAGTATTTCTGAAACATCTCTTCTCCTCTTAAAAGCAGCACAAGCGAGTGCTATCGACGGTTAAGCTGGCAAGCGTAACTTTCGATTTTTATTCCGGGGCCTCCTGGGAGTGTTGCTCCAGTGCCGTAATACACGTGTGTAGTGTGGGTTGCCTGCACGTCGTACGTCCCGGCGCCAAGCACTTCCTGCGGCAGTGAATTCTCGTAGTCCTATCGGGAATCGAACGACTCCTAAAATATTTACGGCTTCGTTGTATGTGCACTCTTATGCAAAGCAGTCTATCTCCTTGAAATTGAGAATTCTATGTGCTCTCTCACAAAGATCAATATTGTCTCAGTCTACAGAGAAAATCCGATAAAACGCTGAACGAGAAACGCAGTCGATTGTCCCTCGCTTGACCACGAGATAAAAGTCGATCCCACGCAAGTAAGACAACTTTTTGCATCAGAAATAAAATGTTAGGTGTAACATATTGCGTTTGGTTTCCACACGTTAGCTCTTCTTCTTCATGACACATTTGTATCTCGCTTCTCTTTTTCTAAAATCCGGCCAACCCCGGCGCCAAACTGCTCCGCTTTTCAGGGTTATAATTATCCAAACAACGAACTTTACTGAGTGTACCCTATTTGTGTTTCGTTTAATCATCCGTTTCTTCCGTGCCGGGGCTCAGCGCCGGGTACCCTCGCAGGGTATTTTCACCGCCCTCTCATTTTCGCTGTCCGCTCAAGAAAGTTTAATGAAAAATCCTGAGTCATCTCCCACAGGAGTCGCTCGCACGCCGCCTGTACCGACGTGAGAACATCTAATCAGCGGCGCAGCCTGCGGGGACGGATCGAGCCTTAATCCCTCGCCGCCGCCGCCCTCACGCGGCCACAGTGGAGCTGTCTCATTAAATGGAAGCTGCGGCTGCAAGAGACATCGACGCGGGAGGATACGGTGAGTGGGTAATGGGAGGGGGTGAAGACAGAGGGCAAAGGAGATGGCAGACGGCAGGGGCACGGTGGCGGCAAACGACATGATGATGGTAAAGAGATTGGCAAAGGGCAGGGGTGACGAGGAGGCGGGGATAACGAGGGGGTGGGATGAAGAGGGGGCGGGGATGACGGATAGGGCATGGATAGTGGCAGGGCAGGCAACATACGGCAAAGGCAGGGTAAAGGTAGAGGGCTGAATGATAGCAGAGTGCAAGGTTGATGGCTGAGCGAGGTGGTTGAAGGCTCGGGACAAGTGTGATGAGGGAGCTGGGGTCGTGCCATGGGGAAGGTGACGATAAGGGGTGAAGATGGCAGTGCTTGGTGACGACAGAGGCAGGTGATGATAGAGAGTGGAGGTGGTGGCAGAGGGCGCGGATGATGGCAGGGCGGAAGGAAAAGCGGTTTGCGCGGGGGCGGGGACTGGTAGCGATGGAGGTGGCCGACATAAAACGGCGGGGAAGGTGGCGCTCCGATGGGCACAGGGCCACACAGCGTGGCGTGGCGTGCATAAAATAATAAAGGGAGGAAGACAAAGAAGGTTAAAAGGGTAAAGGTGAAAATAAATTTGAAAAAAAAAATACAAAGATCACATGGCGTGACATCCGCATAACGAATATAATATATTAAAAATGATAATAATACACAAGCCCACCATCATACTATCTTGTCATTTGTAAAAATATTTGCCACAATTTTTCAGTAAATAGGCAGATTACACAGAAAAAAATCATTGATAAAGACAAAGAGAGTCAATGGTTTGGAAAATAACATAAATGAAGAGATGTAGATGCATTTGATGACAAAATAGTAAAGAGAATTGAAATGACGACAAATAAGAAAAATAAAATTGAAAACAAAAAATCAACACAAATACAAAATATATTTTGCCAAGAGAGTATTAGGAAAGATTAATTAGAAGAAGAACATAGGTAAACTCATAGAATATCAATTAGATGATGTCACCCTATGCGAGATGAAATTGACATGAGACAAAACACTCCGGAAAAATGTAAAGGGGAAAAGTTTTAAGTCAGAAAAAGGGGATACAGAGAAAAGGAAATAGAGACAGGTAGCATTAGAAAGTCAAAGGTCAGCGAGAGATGAGAGAAGTAAGGTCAAAAGTCAAAGATATCTCTTATGTGTCTTAGTAAAACACGAAAGCGGAAGCACATCACGGGATTTTAAAGAACTATGATAATAAGTAATAAAAACATATGCAGATACAATCCCCGTCCACGGTGTGTCATTTGTTTGCAAATAATACAAAATACCAGAAATTGCAAACATTCGTGATTACATTTGAAAATATCCTGTTGTAAGTTTGCATTAATAATAATAATAACCTTAATGATCCACAGTTTTTAAGGCAAAAAATCTGTCTCAGTTCATAATAACATAAAAAGTTCTCTTATTAAAATTCATGAATTCTTCCGAATAGTTTTTCCCTACTTTTGAATTATTGATTGTTGAAAATATTATTCAAAAAATTATTTCTAGTTTCAATTTCAAACGACCAACTTATATATTCCCGTATGTTTTCGTAGTATAGAGAAAGTTATGAAAGTCTGCAGAAAATCGTTTTTAAGATTTCAACACCTTTTGAGGCCATTGATACAGAAAAAGTTATTTTTTAAAATATTCATCTGTCTGTACGCCCGTCCATCTATCGTCTCTCTTTCTGCCGTCGGTGAACACTACAAGGACCTAAATCATGCGTAGGATTTTTTCAAAATGAAGTACACAAGTCAGGTATCAAAGTTTCGTTCAAATTTCAGAATTCCCTCTCAAGAATTCTATCCCTCAAATAACACTTAGATAGTTTAGACAAAATCGGGGTTTATTCATAACATTGCTATGACTGAAAAGCCAAAACTTTTTGTCAAAATGCCAAAACGTTTAACACCAGAATTAAGGAACATATACACGCTTGGAATCACAACTGTAAATCTCAATTTGATAATCATTTACCCCAGACAGATATTCGTATACTGAAATTGAAAATTAATATCACACTATATTAACTTTGTAAAACCTTCATATTCATTTAGATGATAACTTACTGAATGAAAAAATAAATCATAGCCCCTCACCTCTACTAAAATTATTCGACACCATCCCCACACAGCACTCTTTCGGGGCGACGAAGTAGACAGGGTACTGCACCCAGGCAATTGCCCTCCTCCATCCCACAGCCGGGTACTTAAGCCCCTTGGTTCGCCGGAACCCGCGTAGTCGTATAGTGGCTTCCT